AATCTGGAAAAGGTAAGGGAATGAAGTCTCCCCTAGACCCTCCAGAAAGGAAGCAGCTCTGCTGACATCTTAGCTTTATCCCCACGAGACCCATGTGAGCCTTCTCACCTACTGAACCACGGGGAGATACACATATGTGGTCATCAGCCATTGTATCAGGCTTGTTATGCAGCAATTGGAAACCAATACACTGTATCTGGGAAGGAGAGAGAAAGTCACTGCAGGCAAGTGGACTAGGGAAGGAAAGAGCAGGGGTGTGGAGAAACAACAGAGCCAGTGTGGACCTGGGTCAGATGTAAGGGGCCTTAAGAACCACGCCGGATTTTCGCCTTTACTCTGTAAAGCGGAAAAAGAGTGAGTGAATTTTTTGAGCACAGCAGCGACATTCTTGGTTTTGTCTTAAAGACGTGGTATTACCAAGTCTGGAGCAGACTGTTGGGAGTGATTGGGAGACATAGATTCTTCTGTTTTACCTGAGTGATGTCTTCATATTGAGGCTTTTATTTGAATCCTGGAATAAAGGACCTGTGCCTATTTGTATGTGGGGCCACATGGTGTAAAGGCCCCACCATCTTCCGTGGTGGCTCACAAGGCCTCGAGCTTGCCGGAGTGTTGGGGCCACTGTCTGGCCCAGTCAGCCATACTTCATCATGAGTTAATATCAGCTCAACAACTCACTCCAAAGCCAATTCTTTGTTATTTGTTTTAACAACCTGCTGTTTTGAATTATCTCTCTAGTTTCTGTCATTAATGTAAATAAGCATAGACTGCATGATTGATTACATTGATTGTGGAAGAATTGGTCATTAAAATAGCAAACTATAAAAGAAAGATGAAACTAAATCTCCACCCTCTCCTCCTCCTAAATGTGCAAATTCTAAAACCAGTTCCTTACCCCAAATTCTCAAGCTGTGGGGCTCTAGTTTCTGGGATAAGGGAGGTTTGGAAAACGCTGGTTAAAAAAGCTTGTTTAACTGGGGATCTCTTATGAGGCGAGTATGCTAACAACCCAAGAGGCTGCTAGGCTTACTTTGCAATGGAACCCTTTTGTTCAGAATGTATTTTGAGACGTGTGTTCCTCCAAATGCAGGAGGTGAGGAAGGAGGTGAGGAAGAAGAGCGCTCCCCATGGCGCTGGGAGGCCTCGTTTTCAGACCCGTTTATGGCTCCAAGAAGCTCAGTGACAAGAGTGAGAGGCTTTGAGTTCCGCATTGTCAGTTTCTAGGCTCGGTGAAACTGATTCATGACCCTTGATGCTGTGATTCTTTAAAATCCATTAGGAATGACCTTGTTTCACATATCAGTGGATAATCACCAGTTATTGACTAATTAGTGATTAGGTTTTTCGTCAGATTGTTTTGTAGTCAGTCATGTTATTGCTGCATATAGTTGCTAAGTAATATTACAGCTATCCTCGAACTTGATGCCTAGAACATGAATGTAGGGTATCTAAACAAGGAGGTTACCTTGGTCGTGGAAACTAGAGTTTGAGATGCCTTCCTATACAGATTCTAATCCTTCTAGCAAGCTCAGAATTGTGGGAAATGTGCCTCAGTGACAGAGAGAGGCCACAGTCTTGTGGAGATGAACATACTAAACTCACATGGCTAGTTGAGGTTTCTGTGTGTAAATCGGCTGATCTTATTAAATCTTGCAACTTTGAATGAAAAATGAATTTTTATTTAATAGTCTCTGGACATTTGTTCTAGAATATGGGTTTTAATACTCATTGGATGTTGTGAAGGATCTAATCTCTCCACAAATAAGTAAATTTACAAAAAAGTAAAGATAATTGTTAGTGAGAAAAAGGAGATCGCTAAACCAGAAATGTAAGGTTTCATAAGGTGTGTGCATGACTGTGTCTACCCACATATATTTCTGGATTATATATGTATACATGTAAGCATATTAGGCATATTCAGCAAAACACACTTGAAAAAATACATTAAAGCGTTAGGAAGGGCTAAGTCTGAAGTGGAATTATAAATGATGTTTCTTCTCTTCTTCCTTGCCTTTCTCAAATTATCTAAAGTGAGCACACTGTTTTTGTAACCAGGGGAAATAAAGATTTGTTTAAAAAGCCAAGTTAAAAAAATCAGGCCGGGTGCGGAGGCTCCCGCCTGTAATCCCAGCACTTTGGGAGGCCGAGGCGGGCGGATCACGAGGTCAGGAGATCGAGACCATCCTGGCAAACATGGTGAAACCCCGTCTCTACTAAAAATAAAAAATAAAAAAAAGTTAGCCGGGCATGTTGGCGGGCACCTATAGTCCCAACTACTCGGGAGGCTGAGGCAAGAGAGTGGCTGAACCCGGGAGGCGGAGCTTGCAGTGAGCCGGGATTGCACCACTGCACTCCAGCCTGGGTGACAGAATGAGACTCCACCTCAAAAAAAAAAAAAAAAAAAAAAAAAAGAAAGAAAGAAAGAAAGAAAAAAAGAAAAAAAATTCAAGGGTACTTTCCTGTATGTATGGCTCATGCTTTTATTGATTGAGGACAAACAATCTACCATTGCATATTAGATAGGAGGGCCTTTCTCTTACCGCTCTTCAATCCACTTACCTGTTGAGGCTGTAGAAGCCAGGACAGGTCAGCTGTTTGTGCACGTGCTATTCTGCTATTTCCATTGTATTCATCTCTGAACTTTGATAGGAAAAGTAATTCTGCTGCTCTGAAATTCACATAATAATTCCATTTTAGGCCAGTCGAATCTTAAAAATAAGTAGTGATCAATAAAACCTAGACAAATGATTTTAATTCTTGGGGGTTTCATTAGATTGGGAATGTGTGTTGGTTTCATGTGTCAACTTGACTAGAAGATAGTACCCTATTATTTAATTAGATGCACATCTAGGTATTGCTGTGAAGGTACTTTATAGATGCGGTTAACTTTTAAGATTTCCCTGGATGTTGTGGGCGAACCTCACCCAATCATTTGAAGGCCTTGAGAGCAAAACCGGATGATTCCCGGAGAAGAATTTCTGCATCATGCCTGCAGCATCAACTCCGTGTTGAGTTTCCAGCCCGCCAGCCTGTTCTACGCATTTTAGATTTGCCAATCCCCACAATAATGTGAGCCAATTCCTTCAAATAAATATCTCCTTCTCTCTCTTTCTTTGTGGGAGTGGGTGTGTGTATATTAATAAATAATATACAACGCTATATTGGTTCATTTTCACACTGCTCTAAAGAAATACCCAAGACTGGGTAATTTATAAAGGAAAGAGGTTTAATTGATTCACAGTTCCCTGTGGCTGGGGAGACCTCAGGACATTTACAATCATGGCAGGAGGGGAAGCAGGCACCTTCTTCACAATACAGCATGTGAAGGAGAAACTGTCAAACACTTATAGAATCATCAGCTCTTGTGAGAACTCACTCATTATCACGAGAACAGCATGGAGAAAATTGCCCCCATGATCTAATCACCTCCTCCCTCCACATGTGGGGATAGAAGGTCCCTCCCTGGACAAGTGGGGATTTTATTTTGAGATGAGATTTGAGTGGAGACACAGAGCCAAACGATATCAAACACACAATGTATATAACATTATATAGCAGATTTCTAAAAATGCAGAAGTAGCTTTGGAATTGGGTAATGGGAAGTGACTGAAAGAAACTTGAGGTGCATGCTTTTAAAAGCCTAGAAGAGACTTGGTAGAAGTATGGATATTAAAGGCAATTTTGGGGATAAGAAATTACCTGTTGGGTACAATGTGCACTATTTGGGTAATGGGTACATTCACTAAAAGCCCACTTCACCACTGTGCAATATATCCATCCAGGTAAAAAGAAATGCACTTGTACCTACTAAGTCTATTCAAAACAATAAATACAGGCAATTTTGATGAGGTCTCAGAAGGAAGGGAAGAAGACAGTGGAGAAAATTTCCATTGTCTTGGAGAACACATATTGTCATCATGATCAGAACGTTGCTAGAGATGTGAGCGTTAGAGGTGCTTTTGGTGAGAATGTAGAATAAAATTAGAAACAAGTTATCGGATGCTGCAGGAAAGGTGAGCCTCTTAAAAAATGATAGAAATTTTGGCTAAATTGTGTTTTACCATTGGATGGAAAGAGAACTAGGAAGTGATGAACTTGGATATGTAACTGAGGGAATTTCTAAGCAAACTGTGGCCTGATTTCTTCCTTTGTGCTTATAGTAAAATGGGGGAGGAAAGAGATACCTTGAGAAAGGAACTGTTAGCAATAAGGAACCAGCATTTGATGATGTGGAAAATTCTCAGCCTGTCCGTATTGCCACAAATGCTGAGAGTCAAGGGTGAGGTCGGACAGCCTTTGGTGGAAGAGATTAGGCATGTGACTACTGGGTCTACACAGCCATCTCAGCAGACGCCAGGAACAGGGCTGGGCTGCTCAGAAAGATCTGTGTAGAACCCTTCTAGGGTTCCACAAAAAGGAATTCGCCTGTCCAGTGGTGCTGGGAGGTTCTCTGCTGAGACATCCACAGGCCCAGAGGACAGAGCATGGGATCACAGAGGATTATTTAGACCTAGTAGAAATTGCTCTGCTGAGTTCTGAACTTGCTTGGGACAAGCGACTCTTTTATTCTGTCTCTTTCACCCACTTGGGGATGGAAATGCTTTCCCGTATTTGACCACCGTTGTCTTTGGGAAGCAGGTAACTTGCTTTCCAGTTTCACAGGTGCATAGATGGAGAGGAGCGTTGCTCCACTGTGGCTCAGACCCAGAGTTTCATCCATACCTATTCAGAAGATGAGATCTGGGGCTTTTGAGTTGATGGTATTTAGATGCTATTTTAGACTTAGAATTGATGCTGGAATGGGTTATGACTTTTGGAGAAGTTGGGATGGGATAAAAGTATTTTGCACACGGGACAAACGTGCACTTGTGGGGGCAGCAGGGGGAATCCACAGGTTTGAGTTGTTTTGCCCCACAATTCATGTCTCTCTAGAATCTTGTAATGTGACCTTATTTGGTAATAGAAAATCGGTTTTGTTTGTTTGTTTGTTTGTTTTTCAGATGTAATTAGTTAAGATGTGGCCATACCGGCCTAGTGGGCCCTAAATCCAGTGAGACTGGTATCCTTATAAGAAGACGGAGACACGGGGAGAAGATGGCCCCGTGATACCAGAAGCAGACTGGAGTGATGCATCTGCAAACCAGGAAACATCAAGCAATGCTGGCAACACCATGAGAAGAGACAAGGGAGGACCCTTCCCTAGCACTTCAGAGGGCAGACGGCCCTTCTGGCACCGTGACTTGGGACTTCTAGCTTCCAGAACCCTGAGAGAATACGCCTGTGGTTTGAAGCCACCCGGTCTTTGCCAGTGTGTCATGGCAGCTCTAAGAAACCAACCCAGCGTGGTTATGCATTTTCCTTAAGTCCAGATCTTGGCTAACAGGAAGTGGCAAGAAAATAAGGAAAAGCCAACTCTCTCTCTCTCTCTCTCTGGCCAGGATGGTGTCTCCTCCCACGTGGAGAAGGAGAGCTGCTCCTTCTGCCATTACTGCCATTACTGCTAATGAAAAGTGAAATGACAAGTGAGGAGTGAGAAAATCGGATGGCCCCTGGTGGGCACACGCTGTGGGACTCGCTAGCCAGTGTAAGGAGCTCGGAGAGGCGTGACAGCGCTCCCCAGACAGGACGGTTCTCCAGATTTTGAGAAAGGCACGTCTTCTCTGGTCATCTCTAGTTTCAGACCCAGAGAAAAGCCCGGTTCTTGGCTGGTATTTAAGCTCCTCATTTTTGTCACATTGCTTTCTCACTCTAATGGTCTTGATCAAGTTTTCACCCTGTGAGAGTCACACGCGGGAGGAATGGGATGGAGCGCTCAGCCGTTCACAGAGCCCAGCCCTGCCTCCCTCTGCTTGGTGTGCTTACTCTTGGCAAGATGCAGCTTCCTGTTCAGAGAAAAAGGACTTAAAAAGGATCGTAAAATGGGCTCCCAAGGCTCCTTGAATAGCAAATAGCTTTTAAAAGACAACACTTTAATGGCCTATGAGTATCCAAGTCAAAAACAAAAGTATTGAATATCCCTTTAAATGTGTATGAGTTTAAAAAGCAAGATGGGAATAGATTTGGCAAAGTTTCTTCTGGATTTTATAGAATTCAAAATGCTCAAAAAATTTTTACCTATACGCCCACACACAACTGCAAAACTTTTATAAACGACGTGGGGAGATAACAAAAATGATACTGTGCAAATCCAAACAGTATGCAGCTTCTGCATTGCTGTGCCTGATGGAAATATTTCTCTCTTTTATGAGCGTCTCTCTGTGCGTGGAGAAGGAAGAAAGATGGGCGTATGAGGCAGGGAGGGGAGAAAGGAGGAAGAGAAGCCTATTCCGGGCTTCATGGCCGTTCTCAGTACTCACTCGTGTGCCCTCTAAATGGAACCATTTGCTGTACATTTTGAATTGCTAACATTTGGTAGACTAGGGGACAATGGATTTTTGCGTAAACTATGAATTTTATGACAATGAATTAGCATGTTCATTGAACAGAAAGTAAACAAAGCTTAGTACAAAATCGGTTCAGTAGATAACCTAACTCTTCTGCTGCTTAATGAAGTGTTGGTGATGAAACCAAAACAAATAGCTTTATGCTTTGTAAAGCACAGGGAAACGTACTTTCGTGTTTAATTACTGTGTGGTTATGACAAGGCTGGTACCTGCCTGAACCATAAGTGACAAAGTTTGCAGCAGCCGCTCCTGCTTCAGCAGACTGGGTGTTGAACTAACCAGTTACAGCACTGGCATTAGAACAGAGAGGGAAAATGGGCATGCAAATATAGTCAGTTCTGACGAACCTCCAACATCTGTGAAGCACCTACTGCGTGTGTGCCAGGCACTGGGGATATGGCACAATGAGATGGGGGCATTTGCATTGTCCAGAACTCTAGGGAGGGTAGGGAGGATGAGGCGTGACTGTCTTAGTAGTTTTGTGATGATGAATTTCGTGTCACCTTGACTGGACCAGGTTAGTTCAGATATTTGGCTAACCTTTATTCTGGGGGTTTCTGTGAGGGTGTTTTGGATGAGATGGGCATTTAAATTGGTAGACCGTGTAAAACAGATGCCCCCCCCCTCCAAGTGGGTGAGCACCATCCAATCTGAGGAGGCCTGAACAAAACAAAAGGCAGAGGAGGGGATTTGTTCTCTCTGCCTCACTTCTTGAGCTGGGGCATGGTTCTTTTCCTGTCATCTTTTTAGGCCATCTGCTCTCCTGGTTCTCAGACCTTCGGACTCAGGCTGGACCCACACCACTGGCTCTGTTGGGCCTCCAGCGACTTCTACAACTGTGCGAGCCAATTTCTTATAATGGCCCATGTCCCCCACCTGGGTTCTGACTGTCTGGAGAACCCCAATTAATACAGATTTCTAAGGAGACACCGAGGCAAGAATTTGAGGACTACTAGTTGAATAGGAGTGATCCAGGAAGCATGGCTAGGAAGGAGAGCGACAGAAATGAGACAGGGAAAGGAAGGAAGTCAGCCAAGGCTCACTGGCACTGTGGGCAACGGGCCACACCGGGAAATGTTATGAAACGGAAGCTGATGTTCGTCTGCCTGAGGATGAGGGAGGTGGGCCAGTCATCTTCCAGCTCTCTCCCACTTCATTGCCTGAGAGCTGCTCCTGGGAGCATTAACTCCTCAGCCCTTCTGGCCTCTGCTGTGCAGATCATGAGACGCCTTCACAGGGAGCACGGCAGGCTCTTGTAGACGGATGCTCTCCACAGGTCCTGGAAGCTAAGGACTGAGGGCATAAGGGTGAGCATCGAATGGCATCCACTGTCATGACTGAGGGGATGGAGACTGGGCTGGTAACCCAGGCAGAGTTCAGAGGAGGAAGAGTGTTATGGGATAGAGTAAGAAGGGAGAGATTTACGGAGGAGTTGGGGCATTGACTCAGCCTCTGTAAGAGGGGAAGAGGCATGGTGAGCCCGGGTTGTGGAGTGTGTAGTCTCGGAGGCTGCGGAGAGCCTGAGCTGGTGATGAAAGCTGGATCATTGAGGACCGTCTGCTCCGGAATGGCTGCAGTGCAAGCGGATGTTGGCCCCAGTGTGTGCCACGGATGTTGGCCCCAGTGTGTGCCACGGATGTTGGCCCCAGTGTGTGCCACGGATGTTGGCCCCAGTGTGCCACAGATGTTGGCCCCAGTGTGCCATGGATGTTGGCCCCAGTGTGTGCCACATGGACAGGGCATCTTGAGCAGAGACACATGAAGTATTTTGGCGTGGCAGAGCCTCTCCCTTGCTCCCCAGCATCCATTCTTTCTAATTTTTTTTTTTTTGAGTCAGAGTCTTGCTCTGTTGCCCAGGCTGGAGTGCAGTGGCACAAGCTTGGCTCACTGCAACCTCTGCCTCCTGGGTTCAAGCGATTCTCCTGCCTCAGTCTCCTGAGTAGCTGGGATTACAGGTGTCCGCCACCATGCACAGCTAATTGTTGTATTTTTAGTAGAGATGGGGTTTCGTCATGATGGCCAGGCTGGTCTTGAACTCCTAACCTCAAGCGATTCACCCGCCTTGGCCTGCCAAAGTGCTGAGATTACAGGAGTGAGCTACCATGCCCGGCCCCCAGCATCCATTCTTTCAGCTTCCATAGCAATAGAATTTTCACCTGGGCACATGGCTGAACAAAGTGCACACTTTATTCCCAGCCTGTCTTGTAGCAAGGTGTGGCCATGTGACTAAGTTCCCAGGAAGGGCTGTGAACAGAAATGATGCGAGCACATCCATGCTTTGCCCTTAAAGAAATAGGACGGGCTCTCCAGGTCCCCACCCTTCCTTCCTGGTGGCTCAGATGTGCGGATGGTGCAGAGGCCTGTGAATGAAGCAGCACTTTGAAGGGGGCAGAAAATCAGCGCAGAAGGAACCTGAATCCCTCGACACTTTATGGAGTAGAAGCGCTGACTGTTGTCAACATAACTAAACCCAAATTCTAACTCACAGATTAGGGAAATTAACCTGGTTGTGATACTCAGGGTAAGCTTGGAGCGGGAAGGACACAGGACTCGTGTGGGTGATTCTGTGGCTGGCGTTCTCCTTTACATTGATTGAGCTTATTCATGGTTCTGAGGCTTAGCTCTCAGACGGTTACTCATTTCAGACCTCCATTCTGGTATTTACAAACTGGTATATGGTGACTCGGTGGGGATAATGTTGGTGGAGGGTGTGGGGTGGAGGTGGCTTCAGGGAGGGGAAGACACTGAGATACTTCCTGGGAAAATTCTGAAGGAGGAATGGGGTGTGACCCTGAGTGAGTGAGCACAGCTCCAGAGATGTGTGTGCTTATGTTTCAATGTCTGTTTGAACATCTGGTTATGAAGGGACATCTGGTTGGAAAATAAATTGGGTTGAGGTGCCCTGATAGAGTTGCAGTAGCAATCCAATATAGCTGATATTCTACAACTAAATTGTCATATTGTATTGATCATTTACAATCTAACCAGATAAAATAGTCTGTATTTGTGGCATGTACCCAATCAGGGATTAAAATTGAATGCACATTTATCTGAGTAACGTGGGATGTTTATGCTAATGTGAGTGTACGACTTAGGAGTAGGGGCACCAGCTCTGCTTGGGACTCACTTCTTGAACAGAGGCAACCAAAGGGTGTTATCTGTCTGGTTCCTACGGTTGGTTCCAGGCCAGCAAACAACAGGGGGTGCCCCAAGAGGTGCCCCCAGAAACCCAGGCTCCTCTATTAGGTGTTTCATGTGCATGGCCCCCTCTTGTGCACACTTCTCTCGAAGGTTCAGAGAAAGGGCATTTGTGCTGAGAATTTGGCTACATTTCATCACAGCTTCCCAGGCACTGTGATGCTTGGCGTGTGCCTGGACCAGGGTAGGCGCTCGGTAAGTGTGTGTGTGGAATAAACGCACGAGTAATTGACTTGGAGCTTACCGTCAACACCTAAGTCATATATTGTTGGCCATCCCACAAATTCGGTAACCATGTGCCTATTAAAAACCAGCTTCTGCAGGAGGAAGTTGGTCCCTAATTGTGTTCGAGGTTTTGTTTTTTAGCTTGAGCGCTCAGAGATGGTCTGTGCTCCGCCCCTGGCCCTAGTCAGCCTCTCTCTGTAGATGAGAATGACGTTCATGTCTTTAGCTAATGTTGGGCAGTGGTTTTGCAACCCGTATGTAATTCATTAGTATGTAAAATGCTATCTGAGCCAAAATAATATACAAGCTGTCTGAAAAGTCTGGAAACAGAGGATAAACTTATTTCAAAGGGTTTATTAGTTAACGTTTTCAAATAATATACTGACTCTATTTTTCCTCAACCTCCAGACATAGGTAAAGTCACTCTAAACTTAAAGCAATAGGTTCACTCTTTAGTCAGAAAAAGTGCAATAAATGTATGATATTTCCCTTGTTTCCAGAATGTTTAGACACTGTAATGTTCTTATTGTAATTTTGTTTTGGATTAACAATAGGATTATTGCTTTAAATTTAGTGATACTTCATCTGAAAAACTAGGCTGTTCAAGAAAAACATATTGAATATGTATTTCTTGATGATGTAAATAACATGATATTTAAAAGTAAGATTTTCATGTGTTGAAAAGTTTTTGTACATCTTGAAATTGATAAGCGCCTTGGAAAGTTTATTTTAAATTCTTTGTTCTGGATTAGTTAAAAGAGAACAAGTGCTTTAAAATTTACTTTCAAGTGTCTACTTATAATATGTTCTGAAATAAAATATAAAGATTGAGGTTTTGGCTTAATCCAAACTTTGCTCTGCAAAAAATATTTTAAAAGGAGAAAATAATAAATCTGAAGTATAAAATAGGGAGAAGTGCATACTATTCTCCATCAAAAATCTGTCTTTGTAATATCCCAAGAAGCCAGCAAGTTCCACATGTTCCATAAACCCACTTTACAGGGGAACTTAATGGGCTGGATTTGCAGCAAGTTAAATGAGACTTTTTTTTTTTAACTGATGTAGTTTTCACAGGCTGATGCCCTTCACTGTTTGAGCGAAACCATCTTGGTTTGGATACGTGGATACATTTCACCATCGGCTTTGTGTCAAAAGCCCCTGAATTTGAAAATGAAAGCACCCTTCAGATCTTTGCTTTGGGATGGTGTCATAAACAAATCTGAGTTTTGTTCTCACGGCTTACCATGATCTCTTCCAAACCTTTGATGTATTTATGTCCAAGTTCAAGGATTATACGAGCAGCTCTGAACATTTAATTTTTCATTCCTTTACAGACTGGGTGAGGCTGAGTCCCTGCCTCTAGTTACCACACTGTATGCATAGCCATGATGGTTGAGAGCTGGAATCTTCCTCTGGGAGCCCCTTTAGATAAAAGCTGTTGACTTCGCCTGTGCAAACCTATCATAGGTACACAAAGATGGTGATAATATACTGAGAGGGTGCACAGTTATTAACACGAAGGTCACATTTCTGAAAAGTACCAAGGTTGGCAAATCTGAGGTCTTAGCAAAAAGTGGAGATCAGAGAAAGCCAATAGAAATGACAATAATCCAGTAAAAAAGAAAGCCTGGGATAAATTCGCTTCCCAAATAAATTAGGTTTGTTAATGGAAAAGGCTGCTGGCCCAGTTGATCCTCTCCCGAACCACTCTCTTTCCATTTTTGAAACACTGTTTTCTCCCAAGGCCGACTCACTCACCAGTTTTATTTGTGCAGCCAGCACCTCTTAAAAAGTTTTGAGGCGAGCCTTACTAGCTTGAAATGTAATATATTTTATACTTGCATTTTTCTCTAGTTTTGTCTACATAAACCTCAGGGGGGAAAATGCTTATATGTCTTCTTGTCTTTTTAATTAATTATTGCTTGGCTTAGAGATACATTTTTCTCTGCACTTAGTTTCCCTACCTGATGTGTGGCAATTCTGGGGTTGAATTGCTTCTCTTTGTTTGCATTATCATAGACACCTGTCGTGTGTGTGTTGGAGGGTGGGCTATGACAACAATGGGATTTTCCTATATTAAGGGACTGACCTGTGTAAACCGAGAAATGTCTTTCTTCAAATATGAAGCCGGATTATCTCAAAGTAATTGCTTGTGAGAATTACTTTAACTCTTCACACTGCTATAGAGCTGTATAATTTACAAACCAGGGTCATATACAGTGTAGCATTTCACATGACTGACCGTAATTCCTTCTTTGGGATGGCACGCCCATTCTGACTGCTAATATCCCCCCTTTCTCCTTTCTTTTCTTCCTTCCCCCTTTCCTCCTTCCCTTTTACTTTTCTTTCCTTCTTTTCTTCCTTTCTTCCATTTTTTGCCTGCCTGTCTTCCTCCCCTCCCTCCTTCCCTCTCTCCTTCCTTCCTCCTTCCTTTCCTCTTTCCTTCTCTCTTTCTGTACTTTCCTCCTTTCTTCTCTTCTTTTCTCCTTCCTTCCTGCCTCCCTTCTTTCTTCTTTCCGTCCTCCCTTCCCTTTTTTCTCTCCTTCCCTACTGTCCTCCTTTCTTCTTTCCCTCCCTCTCTCCCTCCCTTTATTCTTCCCTCTCTTCCTTTCTTCCTCCCTTTCTCTCTCCCTCTCTGTCTTCCCCCACCTTCTTTCTTTATAACATAAATATACTTATATTACAAATGCAAGCATATAAGGTAATATAAAGTACAGTTTATATTACAAATGCAAGAATTTGTAATATAAAGTACAGTTTATGAGAACTGTACTTTAAAGTACAGTGTATGAGAAACAGTACATGAATTCAGCAAAGTTTCAGGATTCAGAATTAATATATACAAATCAATAGGTCTGCTATATACCAACAGCAACCAAACTGATAACCAAATCAATAACTCAACCCCTTTTACAATAGCTGCAAAAAACATAAAATGCTTAGGAATATACCTAACCAAGGAAATAAAAGACTTCTACAAGGAAGACTACAAAACACTGCTGAAAGAAATCGTAGATGACACAAACAAATGGAAACACATCCCATGCTCATGGATGGGTAGAATCAATATTGTGAAAATAACCATACTGCCAAAAGAAATCTACAAATTAAAGATAATTCCCATCAAAATACCACCATCATTCTTCACAGAACTATAAAAAGCAATCTTAAAATTCATATGGAACCAAAAAAGAGCCCACATAGCCAAAGCAAGACTAAGCAAAAACAAATCTGGAGGCATCACATTACCTGACTTCAAACTATACTACAAGGCCATAGTCACCAAAACAGCATGGCACTGGTATAAAAATAGGCAGATAGACCAATGGAACAGAATAGAGAACCCAGAAATAAAGCCAAATGCTTACAGCCAACTGATCTTTGACAAAGCAAACAAAAACATAAAGTGGTGAATGGACACCCTGTTCAACAAATGATACTGGAACAATTGGCAAGCCACATGTAGCAGCAAAACTGGATCCTTATCGCTCACCTTGTACAAAAATCAACTCAAGATGGATCAAAGACTTAAATCTAAGACTTGAAACAATACAAATTCTAGAAGATGACATCAGAAAAACCCTTCTAGACATTGGTTTAGGCAAAGACTTCATGACCAAGAACCCAAAAGCAAATGCGACAAAAACAAAAGATGAGTAGAGGAAACTTAATTAAACTAAAAAGCTTCCGCACAGCAAAAGAAATATTCAGCAGAGTTAACAGACAACCCACAGAGTGGGGAAAAAATCTTCATAACCTATATGTCCGACAAAGGACTAATATCCACAATCTACTAAGAACTCAAGCAAATCAGCAAGGAAGAAATAAACAATCCCATCAAAAACTAGGCTAAAGACATGAATAGACAATTCTCAAAAGAAGATATACAGATGACCAACAAGCATAAGGAAGAATGCTCAACATCACTAATTATCAGGGAAATGCAAATCAAAACCACAATGCAATACCACCTTACTCCTGCAAGAATGGCCATAAAAAAAAATTTTTTTTAAATAGATATTGGTGTGGATGTGGTGAAAAGAGAACACTTTTACATTGTTGGTGGGAATGTAAACTAGTACAACCACTATGGAAAACAGTGTGGAGATTCCTTAAAGAATTAAAAGTAGGTCTACAGTTTGATCCAGCAATCCTACTACTGGATGGCTATCTACCCAGAGGAAAAGAAGTCATTATACAAAAAAGATACTTGCACATGCATGTTTGTAGCAGTAAAATTTGCAGTTGCAAAAATATGGAATCAGCCCAAATGCCTGTAAATCAATGAGTGAATAAAGAAAAAAAATATATATATATATGTGTGTGTATATATATCTCTCTCACAATGTTTGATTTTCTATTCCTGAGTTACTTCTCTTAGAATAATAGTCTCCAATTCCGTCGATGTTGCTGTGAATGCCATTATTGTGTTCTTTTTTTATGGAGGAGTAGTAGTCCATGGTATGTGGATATAAATAGGGTATATTTATATCCCCTTGCATTCTCCTAAATTTTTCATTCAAGCTACTTGCTGTCACTATTGCTTTAAATATATATCTCAATATCGTATATTCCTTGGTTATGTACATTTGCTAATATTGATGCCTTATAGAGGAGTGTTTTCCTTATCAGTAGAGAAATGTATAGAAATTTTCACTTGAACCTAAGAGAGTCTAAATTTTACAACACAAGTCATAAATAAAGCTACATCTTATTATTACTATTTTTTAAATTTTATTTTAAGTTGCAGGGTACATGTCAAGGATGTGCAGGTTTGTTACATAGGTAAATGTGTGCCATGATGATTTGCTGCACCTATCAACCCATCACCTAGGTATTAAGCCCCACATGCATTAGCTCTTTATCCTGATGCTCTCCCTCCCTCACATCCATGACAGGCCCCAGTGTGTGTTGTTCCCTTCCCTGTGTCCATGTGTTCTCATTGTTCAGCTCCCACTTATAGGTGAGAACATGCAGTGTTTGGTTTTCTGTTCCTGTGTTAGTTTTCTGAGGATAATGACTTCTGGCTCCATCCATTTCCCTGCAAAGGACATGATCTCATTCCTTTTTATGGCTGCATAGTATTCCATCGTGTATATGTACCACATTTTCTTTATCCAGTCTTTTATTAATGGGCATTTGTGTTGATTCTCTGTCTTTGCTACTGTGAATAGTGCTTCAGTGAACATATGTTTGCATGTATTTTTATAATGGAATGATTTATATTCCTTTGGGTATATACCCAGTAATGGGATTGCTGGGTCAAATGGTATTTCTGGTTCTAAGTCTTTGAGGAATTGCCACACTGTGTTCCACAATGGTTGAACTAATTTACATTCCCACCAATGTATAGAAAGTGTTCCTATTTTTCCACAGCCTCACTAGCATCTGTTGATTCTTGACTTTTTAATAATCGCCATTCTGACTGGCATGAAATGGTATCTTATTGTGGTTTTGATTTGCATTTCTCTAATGATCAGTGGTGTTGAGCTTTTTTTCATATGTTTCTTGGCCCCATAAATGTCTTCTCTTGAGAAGTGTCTGTTCATGTTCTTTGTCCACTTTTTAATGGGGTTGTTTTTTCTTGTAAATTTGTTTAAGTTCCTTGTAGATTCTGGATATGAGTCCTTTGTCAGGTGAATAGATTGCAAAATTTTTCTCCCATTCTGTAGGTTGTCTGTTCAGTATGATGATAGTTTCTTTTGCTGTGCAGAAGCTCTTTAGTTTAATTAGATCCCATTTGTCAATTTTTGCTGTTGTCGCAATTGTTTTTGACATTTTCATCATGAAATCTTTGCCCGTGCCTATGCACTGAATGGTATTACCTAGATTTTCTTCTAGGGTTTTTTTATACTTTTGGGTTTTACATTTAAGTCTTTAATCCATCTTGAGTTAACTTTTGTATAAGGTATAAGGAAGGGATCCATTTTCAATTTTCTACATACGACTAGCCAATTCTTCCAGCACCATTTATTAAATAAGGAATCCTTTACCCATTGCTTGTTTTTGTTAGGTTTGTTGAAGATCAGATGGTTGTGGATGTACAGTCCTATTTCTGAGTTTTCCATTCTGTTCCATTAGTCTATGTGTCTGTTTTTGTATCAGTACCATGCTCTTTTGGTTACTGTAGTCTTGTAGTATAGTTTGAATTTGGGTAACATGATGCCTCCAGCTTTGTTTTTTTTGCTTAGGATTGTCTTGGCTATATGGGCTCTTTGTTGGCTCCATATGAATTTTAAAATAGTGTTTTTCTAATTCTGTGGAGAATGTCATTGGTAGTTTAATGGGAATAGCATGTATCTACACATTACTTTGGGCAGTATGGCCATTTTCACAATAATGATTCTTCCTGTCCATGAGCATGAGATGTTTTTCCATTTGTTTGTGTCCTGATTTCCTTGAGCAGTAGTTTGTAATCTCCTTGAAGAGGTCTTACATTTCCCTTGTTAGTTGTATTCCTATGTATTTTGTTCTCTTTGTAGCAATTGTGAATGGGAATTCACTCATGATTTGGCTCTCTGCTCGTCTGTTATTGGTGTATAGGAATGCTTGTGATTTCTGCACATTGATTTTGTGTCCTGAGACTTTGCTGAAATTGGTTATTAGCTTAAGAAGCTTTTGAGGCCAGGCGCGGTGGCTCACGCCTGTAATCCTAGCATTTTGGGAGGCTGAGGCGGGCAGATTGCTTGAGCTCAGGAGTTTGAGACCAGCCTGGGCAACACAGTGAAACGCTGTCTCTACTAACTTACAAAAAATTAGCTGGGTGTGGCAGCATGTGCCTGTAGTCCCAGCTACTTGGGAGGCTAAGGCAGGAGAATTGTTTGAACCCAGGTGGCGGAGGTCGCAGTGAGCCAAGATTGCACCTCTGCACTCCAGCCTGGGCAACAGAACGAGACTCCATCTCCATCATGTCATCTGCAGACAGAGACAATTTGACTTCCTCTCTTCCTATTTGAATATCCTTTATTTCTTTCTCTTGTCTGATTGCCCTGGCCAGAACTTCCAATACTGTGTTGAATAGGAGTAGTGAGAGAGGACATCCTTGTCTTGTGCTGGTTTTCAAGGGGAATGCTTCCAGCTTTTGCCCATTCAGTGTGATATTGGCTGTGAGTTTGTCATTAATGGCTGTTATTATTTTGAGGTATATTCCTTCAATACCTAGTTTATTGACAGAAAGCTACATTTTAAATAGAATATTTATAAAAACATGGTTGATGTTCTCTGTCACCTAAGAAATTATTTAGGATGCTCTGAAATGTACCAACTCTTATGGAAGACAATAGTCCCTGTGATAAGGCTGGGAAGAGTCCTAAGGACCATGGCCACTAGATTCAAAAGCACCTGGAGGAAGACGAGCTCATTTCTTTTGGTGAGGAAGAGGAAGGCCACACGGAGAAGGTAGGATTCAAGCTGGGCCTTCAACGTTGAGCATGGGTATTATTTTTTTAATAGATGAAAGGTGAGAGAATACATTGAAGGTAGGTAACGCTTGTTAGTTCAACCAGTAACTAGGTCAAAGAATAGAACAACAGCGAGAGGAAAGTGAGTCTCACAGGAAAGCCTGACAAGTCAAGAAATGTGGGAGGGAGTCTGGGGACAGCGTGGTCAATGACCTCTTCTGACACAAGTGCACGAAGCTAGCAGAAAGGGCCCTGGGGAGACTGAGGCACATCCTAATTACCTGCCTTGAGAGGGACACCATGCTTCTATGAATGAAGCCTGAGCCCACCAGCATTGTTCCTTTTTAGTGCTCTTATAACTCATCTTCAGGCCCTTTTTCTCAAAACCCACTCCTTAGCTAGATATTATCTGTGCCAAAATTATGAAATTATTTGTGGGAATCTAAAATCAGAACTTCACATTTAAAAAAACTTGAATGTCTAATGAATTGTTTGTATTGGATTTTGTCTCCTTTGGGCCTTGAAATCATCTTGAATATGGATTCTGTTGCCTGGTAGATGAGCTGCCCCCACCAGCTGTGGCTCAGGGGACTTTCCTCCAGGTTAACTGCAGTGGACTCCTCAGCATCCTTTAGTTCACTGTTGTTTAATCAACTATCAATGTCTCCTTACACTTTAATTCCTCCCTCCTTTGTCAAGTCAAACACTTAGAGGAAATCACACTGCCTGTGTTCTTCTGATCTACAGGTCTCATGAGCCCATCAAAAACTCAGTGAACTTGTTTGGTTGGATGCATCTTTTATTGCTTTTAAAATACAACAAAGCTGTCGATAAATTATTCCATCATCGCTTTTCAAGGTATCCATATTAAATGTAGCAGTCTAGAACTCTAAATTCATTGCCTTGCCCTTTCTTATATAAAATATGGACATTTGTGTGTCTCCAGTGTTCAGGCATCCTTCTTTCTTTAGTAAGATTCCTCAGACATTACTAAAAGTGGTGATGATATGAAATGTATCAATAAAAGGTACCAGGTAAAGGATTTTCAGGTGTTCAAGCACACGATTGAGGTTGTGGGCATCTTGCAATGCGTCTGAGGCTTTGGCTCTCCATGCCCACATTCCTGGGAGCGGCGCTCAGTGGCAACAGTGAGATCCAAACCACCTCCCGGTCGGTTCCCAGGATGTCCCTCTGCCTGCTCCTGGGGAGATCACGGGAAAGGAAGGGCGATTGAAGGCGTCACACCCTGGTAGGAATTTTCCAATATAAACCCAGTAACTGTTTCCATGATGACCTAAAAAAAGAAGAGTCTGGAATCAATTTGTAACTTTTTCTATGCCTCCCCCACTCTGACTCATTTTTTTGATGGGTCGTTTTTCATTATTTGTTGATGGAGGATTTGCCTTTGTAGGGCAGCGCGGCGTTAGGCCAGTGTAGCCTGAGGCAAATGTGTACCTGGAAAGAGATCAGTTCCTGCATTTCAGGTGCACAGATTATGAAATCAGGTCCCTCCCGTGCTAACAAGGATCTCATCCTGTAAGCAGTGGGCTGTATTTACTGTATGTGTAGCTTTACCTGCAGGGCGATTGTGTTTTGTAATTAGTACCACTCCAAGTTTTAGCTAAATGTTTGAGGAACTGGGGGCCTCACAGGGTTATCTCATTACTAGTAGAAGCCCAAGGAATTTATACAAGCACACCTACATGGCAACCCCACTCTACCCAAATAATGACATCATTTCTGTTTTTTTCTCTCTCTGATTAAATGCCTCTTCTCTTTTGTCCAGCTCTTCTGCACACGCTTTAAGGGGCTTTCCCTGGTGTGTGTCCTCTTTTGTTTAGCCACCCGGAAATTGAAGTGCTTCAGGCCCTTTTCATTCTTACATAAAACCTTGGCTGCTTTTTCTCCCTCATATTTGGAAAAGTCAAGGTATCATGTGAGCTGCCAAGTGCACTGGGGTGGGAACTGGAAAGGATCCAAGGCCCTATTATTTCTTCCCACCCCTTCCTAGCTCATTGTGAACTTCTTGCACCAAACTCCTAATGTTTGTAGAAGTTCTCTGGGACATTTGCCCTTTGCACCCTGTCCCATATACACGCAAAGAGTCTGATTCCAAAATTAATCACCAATATGGATTCAGATTAGCAAACAACTACCATAGACCGACCAGCGGGGAAGCCTTTGGAAATACCACTTCCCTGGTTGGCCACTGGACATAGACAGAGCTGTGCAGACCTTGGTCTCACACTGATTGGCTGTTAGGCGAAGGACTGAGACCTACCTTCCTGTTTTGATTTACTGGGAACAGGTCAAAGGGCCCCTGAAAAGTACACAACACTTCCCGTTTAAAATAGATCTTGGAAGACATTGAAAGAAGAAGGAAGAATGTGGGAATGCAATGGGACAGGGTTCTTTGATCCTAAACCCAGTCAGAATCTTAATTAGCTGTACGTGGAAGACCACAAAGAGCACCCTCTCCCAGCGAAGGCCTCTCCAAGTGAAATGCAAGTTCCAGGAAATGATTGAGTTGTCCCATGTCCAAATGAATCCACCATGAGGTTCCGGGAGATTCTGAATGAGGAGGCTTCTTTGTCTCTGTATATTCTGAGTGAGTGAAATCACTGGTAATTCAGAGTGTCTGTAACAGAGAGGGTTTTTAGCTGTGAATAATATGCCATGTACTGTATATACACGTAATAGAATGGGAGAGACTGGCCTCCCCGCCTTCCCTTCTCACTCTCCCCATTTCCCACCCAAGAGGTCCAGATAGGATCACTGATGAGGATGGTGTAGATGAGGGGGACACTCAGGAAAGAATCCAGGGAACATCCAGCCTTGGTGGTTGAGCCAAGATGAAGGACTAGCCAAGAAGGATTGAGCAGCAGCTGCAAAGGGAGGGGAAACACGGAGAAAAGGAGTACAACCCAAGCCAGGCCATGAAAGTGTCTCCGATGGTCATTGCTGTCTAAACTATTGAGAAATTGTGTGAGATGAAGATAGAAAATTAACCGCTGTGTTTGACCAGAGGCAGGTCCATGCTAAATTCAACAAGAGTAATTTCTGTAATGCATTGGAAAGCTCCATTGGACAGATGTTACATACAAGGCTCAGTTATTCAGGAAATAGGCATGCTCGGTTTTTGCAATGGTGAGAAATTTTCCCACAAAGTTTTGCAGACTTCCATTATTTTCTAGCACTGCCTGCTGTAAAAACCTGAGCCTAAAAGGAATTTTCCCCTTTGTAGGTGTCTTCCTTTTTCTGCTGCGATATTGGAAGAAAATGTCCATGATCCTCATGGTTCGAGGGAAGTGCAACAATCTAACCAGGATGTGTCTCAGTGACTGGCCTCTATTTCCTTTTCTGGATAAAGGTATGCTGTTTTCATTTGCAGATACAATACTTCAGTCATTTCATAGTAATTTTTGTATTGTATCACATCTCTGTTTTAAAAAATAGAACTCAAAAATTCTTAGGAGGGCTGGTCCTAGCCTTTTGTATCTATTAAAAGTTACTGGAGGTGTGACCAGGCACGGCGGTTCACGCCTGTAATCCCAGCACTTTGGGAGGCCGAGACGGGCAGATCACGAGGTCAGGAGATCGAGACCATCCTGGCTAACACGGTGAAACCCCGTCTCTACTAAAAATACAAAAAATTAGCCGGGCATGGTGGCGGCGCCTGTAGACCCAGCTACTCAGGAGGCTGAGGCAGGAGAATGGCGTGAACCCGGGAGGCGGAGGTTGCAGGGAGCCTAGATTGCGCCACTGCAGTCCAGCCTGGGGGACAGAGCCAGACTCCGTCTCATTTACAAAAACAAACTAACTAGAGGTGTATAGAGTGGGAAATTACCGCAGGCTGGAATTGGTTTCTTAGCTATGACACCAAAAACACAAGCTGCCAAAGAAAAAACAGATAAATTGGACTTGATCCAAACTGTAAAACTTTGTGTTTCAAAGTACACTGTCAAGAAAGTAAAAGACAGCCCCATAGAATGACAGGAATATTTGTAAATCGTATGTCTGATAAGGGTCTAATTCAGGATATATCCCTCTTGCAATTCAACAATAAAAACATGACCCAATTTAAAAATGGGCAAATAATTTGAATAGAAATTTCTTCTAAGAAGGTATACCAATGGCCAGAAGGTACATAAAAAGATGCTTTACCTCATTAGCCATCTGGGAAATGCAATCGTAACTATAGTAAGATAGAATTTCACACCCGCTAGGATGGTTGTTATAAAAAAGATGGACAAAAACAAGTGCCAGTGAGGATGTGGAGAGATTGGAGCCCTCATAGACTGCTGAGGGGGATGTGAAATGGTGCAGCCACTTTGGCAAACAGTCTGGCAGGTCTTCATAGTTAAACACAGAATTACGATATGACCTGGCAAATTCTACTCCTAGGTACATACCCAGGAACATCGAAACATATGTCCCTGCAAAAACATGTACAGGAATGATCACAGCAGCAATACTCACAATAGTCAAAAAGTGGAGACAATCCAAATGTCCATGCACTGACAAAACGATAAACGTGTGGCATACCCATATCCACATGACGGAGTGTCATCAGCTGTAAGGAGGAATGACGTTCTGGTAGGCTGTGTGAAAGAAGCCAGACGCAAAGGCCACATGGGTCACTCCACGCATATGAAGTTTCCGCGACAGGCAGAGCTATGGACACAGTACATGGATTCCTGGTTGCCTAGGGCTGGGGGCGGGGGCGACTAGGGGCAAGTGGGGAGTGACTGCTATGGGGAGAGGGCATTTCTCAGAGGTGAGAAAGGTCTCTGAATATTGCTTGTGATGGTGGTTGCACAACTTTGAGAATATACTAAAATTCATTGAATTATATGCACTAAATGGGTGAACTTTCTCCATGAATTGTATACACTAAATGGATGAACTTTCTCCATGAATTGTATACACTAAATGGGTGAACTTTCTCATTAAATTATATGCACTAAACGGCTGAACTTTCTCATTGAATTATATACACTAAATGGGTGAACTTTCTCAATGAACTGTATACACTAAATGGGTGAACTTTCTCACTGAATTGTATACACTAAACGGGTGAACTTTCTCATTGAATTATATGCACTAAATGGGTGAACTTTCTCAATGAACTGTATACACTAAATGGGTGAACTTTCTCACTGAATTGTATACACTAAACGGGTGAACTTTGTCATTGAATTATATACAGTAAATGGGTGAACTTTCTCATTGAATTATATACACTAAACGGGTGAACTTTCTCACTGAATTGTATACACTAAATGGGTGAACTTTCTCACTGAATCGTATACACTAAATGGGTGAACTTTATGGCACATGGATTGTATCTCAATAAAGCTGTTGAAAACTTTAAAGGAGACTTCTGGTCTATTTGTTTCCAGTCATTTCCATGTGCCATTAACTACCTCCAAAGGTTATTTCAAGAAAATTCCTCAAGTTGTTTCATTTCTCTACTTTCTTGTCCCATTGCCCCTAGCTTCCCTTGTCTGTCTGTCTGTCTGTCTCTCCTTGCTCTGGCTCTGGCTCTCACTCTCTGTTTCATCGCTGGCAATAACTGGGAAAGCCACATACCTCCCATCTGTTCTTTGCCCTCAGTGATTTCACCAAAGTGAGAGGTTTTATGTGCTTTTGCTCACAAAGCCTCTTTTAGTCCCATCTGTTAAGCCTTGGATTCTAGAAACAGTTCATGTTTCCAGTACTTCAAGACTTGGAATTTTTGGACTTTCTCTGTTCATTTTTATGTCTGCTTGTTTCATACTGAATGCCTCTTTCCTGACACCATTTCTTCCTTGAAATACCTTGACCAGTGCAGCCAACACATCCAAGTAACATCCAGTGGCACCCAGTTCTCCTGTGTCCTGCCCCAGAGCTATGAGGACGAGGGACATCCCAGTGGGCCACCCCAGTTCTCCTGGTTGTCCCTGCCCCCAGAGCTATGAGGAGAGGACATCCAGTGGCACCCAGTTCTCCTGTCCCGCCCCAGAGCTATGAGGACAGGACATCCAGTGGCACCCAGTTCTCCTGTCCCGCCCCAGAGCTATGAGGACAGGACATCCAGTGGCACCCAGTTCTCCCATGTCCTGCCCCAGAGCTATGAGGACAGGACATCCAGTGGCACCCAGTTCTCCCATGTCCTGCCCCAGAGCTATGAGGACAGGACATCCAGTGGCACCCAGTTCTCCTGTCCCGCCCCAGAGCTATGAGGACAGGTGGCACTTGGCCGGCCTCCGTGTAGTATAGCAGTAGCTTTCCCAGACCTTTTGCTGAGGAGTATGGTAGACGTTTGCCTTTCCTGCCTCCTCTAACAGATTCCTTGCCATGGGCTACTCAGAGCCACATCTTTTAGATCTAGGTTAGGGCAGCTCCCCTCTTTTCCGTCTCATTTCTGCATTAGGGCAATTACTGCCGCTGGTACACAAACCCCCTGAAATCTCAGCAGCTTCACACAACAAAGCTTTCTCCCTCACTCCAAATCCTACCTGGGCTGCCCAGGGTTCACATTCCGGCAGTGACTCAGGGATTCTGACTACCTTCATGTCATCAGAGCTGTGGCCTCCCAGGTCACTCTGGTGGGGCAAGTGAGGAGTGCAGATGGAGCTTATCTTAATTGCCTCAGCCTGCAAGGGTCACACACCACTTACGTCACCACTGGCCCGAACATGTCTTGTGACTCCAGTGAGCGCTCGTTGTCTGCCACAGGGGAGCTGGAGCACGCGGGGCCGAGAGCTTTCAGCAGATCACAAGGTACCTGTGGGAAGGAGAAGATAGAAATAGAGGCTTCTTGTTTGATCATAAGGATAGAGGAAGGTGGACAGATCTGAGGAATGAGAATGAAGGTGTCTCCCTGTACCCTGCAGCCTTGTGTGAGGAGTGAGTGCTGAAATGATTAGCATAGTAGAGGCACGGCTGGTCCTGAGTGGACACCGGTCGGGTCAGGTCCACATCTCCCTTTGCCTCTTTTCACAATATGCAATATTTGGGCAGTTTTAATTACAAGTTCCAAACGAGGAGTTGTAAAGAAGCACGTTAGCTAGAGGGGATGAGAAGAAACATGTTTCTAATCTTTCCCCATTGGAAGGACGTTATTCTGAGGGTGTCAGAAGTTTGAGATGGGAATGGGATGAGCATGAGATCCTTCGCGCTGTTTTGACCGAACAGTGGAAAGGATGGGGAGCAGAAAGGAGCGGCCGGGTGTTTGCAGAGGAGAGGGCAGGCAGGTTGCTGCAGGGAAAGTGATAAAATGCTTTTTTGTTTTCAGTCTTTTTTAAAGCCACGTTTCCTGACGACTTCCTTATGTCCTTAGCTATGCACTGCTTTTCAGCATGGTCTTCCATCACGTCCATCCTATGACTGCACTACACTGATTTAGTCAAACGCCGGTGGTCACACACTGTCATTGGTAGCAGCTATTTTTGTTTTAAAAGTGAGTTTTATTTGTCTTTAGAACATTTTTATTTGGGGGAAAGAAAAGCAAAAATTGCATAACCAATTCCTTTACCCTACAACTAGGCTTCACATTTCTTATCATTCTGTCCTATTTACTTCATAATTATACATTATGGCATTTTTGAAAGAAAAGGTCATAGTACAGATGGTTTCCAACTTACGATGGTTCAACTTAATTCTTCAACTTTATGATGGTGCGAAAGTGATACGCATCCACTAGAAACCAGTACTCCACGTTCTGAATTTTGATCTTTTCCTGGGGAAGCCATGTGCGGTGCGAGGTGCCCCCTGCATGTGGGCAGGGCCGCCAGGCAGCTGCAGAGTCAGAAGGGCAGACCACCCACACTCGACGCTGTGCCCTGTTGCCAGCGTTTGCTGGATATTTTGTGTTTTCGCATCCCATCATGTCTGCAAAATGATATTTTAAACTTACAATGAGTCGATTGGGACATAACCCATTGTAATTTCTATGCTAGGTAACCCCAATAGCAACATCAATCTACCAATCCGCCATCAGTCACTCAACATGGCAGGTCCTCAAATGGTGCCACTTTGTTCAATGTCATTTCTTTTTTGTTGTTGTTTTTGTTTTTGAGACGAAGTCTCACTCTGTTGCCGAGGCTGGAGTGCAGTGGCTCACTGCAACCTCTGCCCCCCGAGTTCAAGCAATTCTCCTGCCTCAGCCTCCCGAGTAGCAGGGACTATAGGCGCGCACCACCATGCCCAGTTAATTTTTTGTATTTTTAGTAGAGAAGGGATTTCATCATGTTGGCCAGGCTGGTCTCGAACTCCTGACCTCAGGTGATCCACCTGCCTTGGCCTCCTAAAGTGCTGGGATTATAGGTGCGAGCCATTGCACCCGCCTGTTCAGTATCATTTCATCACGGTGCTGGCGAGGGGAAAGCTGATTCCCGTCAAGGGCCACCATTTGTGTGGGGCTGGTACCGTCTCCCCATGTCTCTCTGGGTTTTCTCCGGGTGCTCCGGTTTTCTCCCCCATCTCAGAGATGTGCCTGTTCATGAACGGGTGTGTGTACAGGGCGTCGTGGGAGTGAGCATGGGTGTGAGAATGAGTGGCCCTGCCATGGTCTGAGGGCTGCTTCCTGCCTTGTGCCCGGAGCTGCTGCCAGGATGGGCTCTGATCACCTCTGACCCTGAACTGGAATAAGTGGGTTGGAAAATGAATGCATAAAAACAAACTATTGTAAAATAACAATTGGTAAAGTCTACTGTCACCCTACAAACGTATGGCAATGACCCGAGTGGTTGGAGAGGGCTCAGGGAGCCGATCCTGTTTGTTTTTTAACTTTGTGGGAGTAGGAGGTGCTCTTTACAATTTTTGCTTTGATTTTGCCCCCACCCCACCACCACAATGACTGCTGTCACTCACTGATTCACCAGAAATTGGATAAACAATAATCTCACTTGTTTTAATCCATCTTTCTTAAATGTATGTACAGTTCACATTTATTTCAGTGTTTAATATTAGAAATGTTTTGGGTCTATATTTAGAAGACTGGTGATGTTTTTGTGACCAGAAATACGTTGTTAGGAGCTTCTCTTGTTTATATCAATTGGCCTATGGTAGAGTTGGTTTCTGCATTTGTTTCACTTAAAGTCAGTTTCCAAGCACCTCTTGCTGACGTTAAGTGAGAACTTACCATACAGAGCCAGTTCCCACGCTGTGTTCGAGATTCTGGGGATACAAAAAATAGAGCCAGGCCCTGTTCTCGGGAGGCACCGACCGTCTCTGCAGAGGCCTCTGGACCCACTCACAGGGCACCGACAGCAAGTACGCGGAGACCTGAATGCAGTGCAAGTTCATGGAAGGCTGAAAGAATGACAGAATCACAGTTCCAAACCCTTAGAAATCGTCCTCTCCGACTCCCTTTTAATTCATGAATCTTCTCTGTATCATTTCTTATGAGTGACCCTGTGGTATTGGTTAGAATGTCTCCAGTGGTGAAGATAATAACTGAAGAGTGCGGTGCACACTCAGCCAACAAGGGGTTCGCTCTCACACTCTCCTCGTGGTCTCTGCACAGCCCTGTGAGCCGCGTTTGGCTAATGCCATAAGGTATTCCCGGGCGGAGTTTGAATGCAAAAGGCTACAGCCTCTGGGGACGGGGGTGCCCCAGGGTGTCACCCAACAACCCCTTGTTCCAGCTGCCTGAAGCTTCTGGATTCTCCCTGTCATTTCCCAGACTTCATTTTTAACCCGAGGACAGTGGACACTAGAGGAAGGCACTGGCCAGGTCTCTCCTGGGGAATGCTATGGGGGTTTCTAAGTGCATGATGTCATCATTTTCTGGACTGGATAGAACCTGCTGTGCTAAGCTCACCCTGTCCCACCCTCTGGCCAGGTGCTGTGCCCATCTCCCGTTCACACAGACAGGTCTTACTGCAGGTAAGGTCACCCTCATCCTGGGCCTCTCCACTTCCCTTGGCAACAGGAGTTAACACGGAGCCAGAGGTATTCAGGTGTTTCAAGGCTTAAGGTGGAGTCCTGACAACCTGGACGCTGCAGCTAAAGCCTCCCCTCACTACTTCTGGAACAAAAAGGTGGCCGGGCTCTGAGTACCGTCCCTCTGTTGACAACTTCCCATGGCCCAAGTCCTATCCTGATGCTTGCCGGAGACCCCTAGGCTCTGCATCCTGGCTCACCTCCATCTCCACAAGAAGCCCAGGGCTTCGGGCACCACCCCCCTTCCCACATGGCTTTCCCCTTCCCTGCTCTGCTCCCGAAAGCACAGGTGGATCTGCCACATCACGGAGGAAGCTCCGGCTACGGGCCCCTCGTGTTCACACGTGCCCACCAAGGCCGGGCCGTTTTTCTTCCAGGGCACACAAAGGGGGGCAGCTGTGTGGGTGCTGGAGGCTGCTGAGCCTCTCAACAGCGTGAAGTCTGT